ACATGGTTACTAAAGCTTGTACACAGGTTAAAAAAGGGGGAAAATTTGATTGGTTAACTTCCAGTGATGGTTATTTTCTTATATGCAATGAAATGTTATGTGAAATTTTTTCTATAGTATTGGACAGGATAAAACTTTACTCATACCAAGTATTTCTTTATTTGAAACAAAGATATATTCTGCACAATGTTTTGAAAAGTGCAAATTTAACAAAGACTAATAGGGGAAAATCAATGGTGGTATTACACCTAATATGGGAAGCTGTACATGCACTTTTGACCTTGTGAGTACTCTCATGTGTTAAAATTTCTTGCCATTTAAGTGAAATATTACAAATAATGAAATATTCTGAGTGGATTGAGTCTCCAAAACACATTTTATAAGAAAATTTCCTTGAAATAGGACTTTACCATGAATATTAGTTGACAGAACAAGCCATACTTAGAGTTTGGGTGAGCTTTTTCTCCTTATTTATTATATTCTGCTATACTAGAAATTTTTTCCTAGGAAATACTTAAATAAATATATAGTTTTAAGTAAATGAAATTATTTTTAAAGCAGTAACAACAAGTTATTCACCAAAAGAGAAGCTTTTTATGTCCCTCTCTGCGTTGCGGCGTAAATTTAAGTTTTACGTAAGGACTTATTGAAACCTCCTTGGAGACAGCAAACTTTTACACGGATAGTTCATTCAGCTTGAATACTTCAATTAATCATTTATTATAACATTTCTATCATAAATGGGTGAAAGTTACCCCAGAATTTTTATTTATTGGCCTAAAAAGTAGAAATTTTGAGGAAATGAGAGGTATAAATGGACCAAAAGAGACCTTATAAGGAAGACAAAGAGGTCCATTAGTACTATTTATCATCCTAAAGTCATCTTTTGTATCATATTCAACTGTTTGTAGGCAGATGAGATAAATATTTGATCATTTATTGGTCCACACTATATTCTATCATGATGCGGCTGGGTTTGGATTTTTAGAAGAAATTTTGCTCGAATCGCTGTAGATGTCGTCTAACATTATACTAGATTTTTCTCAAATTATTGAACTGATTATGACAAAACTTGACAGGAATGCTTGAAATAATCCGTATTACAAAGGAAAGAAGTCACATTTAGTTTATTTAACAAAAAAGTCTTCTTTTTAATATGGGAAGCTGTACATGCACTTTTGACCTTGTGAGTACTCTCATGTGTTAAAATTTCTTGCTATTTAAGTGAAATATTACAAATAATGAAATAATCTGAGTGGATTGAGTCTCCAAAACACATTTTATAAGAAAATTTCCTTGAAATAGGACTTTACCATGAATATTAGTTGACAGAACAAGCCATACTTAGAGTTTGGGTGAGCTTTTTCTCCTTATTTATTATATTCTGCTATACTAGAAATTTTTTCCTAGGAAATACTTAAATAAATATATAGTTTTAAGTAAATGAAATTATTTTTAAAGCAGTTATAACAAATTATTCACCAAAAGAGAAGCTTTTTATGTCCCTCTCTGGGACGCGGCGTAAATTTAAGTTTTACGTAAGGACTTATTGAAACCTCCTTGGAGACAGCAAACTTTTATACGGATAGTTCATTCAGCTTGAATACTTCAATTAATCATTTATTATAACATTTCTATCATAAATGAGTGAAAGTTACCCCAGAATTTTTATTTATTGGCCTAAAAAGTAGAAATTTTGAGGAAATGAGAGGTATAAATGGACCAAAGAGACCTTATAAGGAAGACAAAGAGGTCCATTAGTACTATTTATCATCCTAAAGTCATCTTTTGTATCATATTCAACTGTTTGTAGGCAGATGAGATAAATATTTGATCATTTATTGGTCCACACTATATTCTATCATGATGCGGCTGGGTTTGGATTTTTAGAAGAAATTTTGCTCGAATCGCTGTAGATGTTGTCTAACATTATACTAGATTTTTCTCAAATTATTGAACTGATTATGACAAAACTTGACAGGAATGCTTGAAATAATCCGTATTACAAAGGAAAAAAGTCACATTCAGTTTATTTAACAAAAAAGTCTTCTTTAGGTGTAATACCACCAAATCATAGTACGTCACATCCGGTTGCATACGAAAATAGGTCTAAAAAAATATTCCCTTGAATTTGACAGTTGTAGGTAATTGATCCTACATTTCATTGCAGTAAAACATTTCTGGGTCATAAACATATATCTTGGGTATTTCAAAGCACCATTATTTTTTTTATTTGGGGTTTCTATAAAATATTTTGGAAACTTGAGGTTACATGGTTACTAAAGCTTGTACACAGGTTAAAAAAGGGGGAAAATTTGATTGGTTAACTTCCAGTGATGATTATTTTCTTATATGCAATGAAATGTTATGTGAAATTTTTTCTATAGTACTGGACAGGATAAAACTTTACTCATGCCAAGTATTTCTTTATTTGAAACAAAGATATATTCTGCACAATGTTTTGAAAAGTGCAAATTTAACAAAGACTAATAGGGGAAAATCAATGGTGGTATTACACCTAATATGGGAAGCTGTACATGCACTTTTGACCTTGTGAGTACTCTCATGTGTTAAAATTTCTTGCTATTTAAGTGAAATATTACAAATAATGAAATATTCTGAGTGGATTGAGTCTCCAAAACACATTTTATAAGAAAATTTCCTTGAAATAGGACTTTACCATGAATATTAGTTGACAGAACAAGCCATACTTAGAGTTTGGGTGAGCTCTTCTCCTTATTTATTATATTCTGCTATACTAGAAATTTTTTCCTAGGAAATACTTAAATAAATATATAGTTTTAAGTAAATGAAATTATTTTTAAAGCAGTAACAACAAATTATTCACCAAAAGAGAAGCTTTTTATGTCCCTCTCTGGGACGCGGCGTAAATTTAAGTTTTACGTAAGGACTTATTGAAACCTCCTTGGAGACAGCAAACTTTTATACGGATAGTTCATTCAGCTTGAATACTTCAATTAATCATTTATTATAACATTTCTATCATAAATGAGTGAAAGTTACCCCAGAATTTTTATTTATTGGCCTAAAAAGTAGAAATTTTGAGGAAATGAGAGGTATAAATGGACCAAAGAGACCTTATAAGGAAGACAAAGAGGTCCATTAGTACTATTTATCATCCTAAAGTCATCTTTTGTATCATATTCAACTGTTTGTAGGCAGATGAGATAAATATTTGATCATTTATTGGTCCACACTATATTCTATCATGATGCGGCTGGGTTTGGATTTTTAGAAGAAATTTTGCTCGAATCGCTGTAGATGTTGTCTAACATTATACTAGATTTTTCTCAAATTATTGAACTGATTATGACAAAACTTGACAGGAATGCTTGAAATAATCCGTATTACAAAGGAAAAAAGTCACATTCAGTTTATTTAACAAAAAAGTCTTCTTTAGGTGTAATACCACCAAATCATAGTACGTCACATCCGGTTGCATACGAAAATAGGTCTAAAAAAATATTCCCTTGAATTTGACAGTTGTAGGTAATTGATCCTACATTTCATTGCAGTAAAACATTTCTGGGTCATAAACATATATCTTGGGTATTTCAAAGCACCATTATTTTTTTTATTTGGGGTTTCTATAAAATATTTTGGAAACTTGAGGTTACATGGTTACTAAAGCTTGTACACAGGTTAAAAAAGGGGGAAAATTTGATTGGTTAACTTCCAGTGATGATTATTTTCTTATATGCAATGAAATGTTATGTGAAATTTTTTCTATAGTACTGGACAGGATAAAACTTTACTCATGCCAAGTATTTCTTTATTTGAAACAAAGATATATTCTGCACAATGTTTTGAAAAGTGCAAATTTAACAAAGACTAATAGGGGAAAATCAATGGTGGTATTACACCTAATATGGGAAGCTGTACATGCACTTTTGACCTTGTGAGTACTCTCATGTGTTAAAATTTCTTGCTATTTAAGTGAAATATTACAAATAATGAAATATTCTGAGTGGATTGAGTCTCCAAAACACATTTTATAAGAAAATTTCCTTGAAATAGGACTTTACCATGAATATTAGTTGACAGAACAAGCCATACTTAGAGTTTGGGTGAGCTCTTCTCCTTATTTATTATATTCTGCTATACTAGAAATTTTTTCCTAGGAAATACTTAAATAAATATATAGTTTTAAGTAAATGAAATTATTTTTAAAGCAGTAACAACAAATTATTCACCAAAAGAGAAGCTTTTTATGTCCCTCTCTGGGACGCGGCGTAATTTTAAGTTTTACGTAAGGACTTATTGAAACCTCCTTGGAGACAGCAAACTTTTATACGGATAGTTCATTCAGCTTGAATACTTCAATTAATCATTTATTATAACATTTCTATCATAAATGAGTGAAAGTTACCCCAGAATTTTTATTTATTGGCCTAAAAAGTAGAAATTTTGAGGAAATGAGAGGTATAAATGGACCAAAAGAGACCTTATAAGGAAGACAAAGAGGTCCATTAGTACTATTTATCATCCTAAAGTCATCTTTTGTATCATATTCAACTGTTTGTAGGCAGATGAGATAAATATTTGATCATTTATTGGTCCACACTATATTCTATCATGATGCGGCTGGGTTTGGATTTTTAGAAGAAATTTTGCTCGAATCGCTGTAGATGTTGTCTAACATTATACTAGATTTTTCTCAAATTATTGAACTGATTATGACAAAACTTGACAGGAATGCTTGAAATAATCCGTATTACAAAGGAAAAAAGTCACATTCAGTTTATTTAACAAAAAAGTCTTCTTTAGGTGTAATACCACCAAATCATAGTACGTCACATCCGGTTGCATACGAAAATAGGTCTAAAAAAATATTCCCTTGAATTTGACAGTTGTAGGTAATTGATCCTACATTTCATTGCAGTAAAACATTTCTGGGTCATAAACATATATCTTGGGTATTTCAAAGCACCATTATTTTTTTTATTTGGGGTTTCTATAAAATATTTTGGAAACTTGAGGTTACATGGTTACTAAAGCTTGTACACAGGTTAAAAAGGGGGAAAATTTGATTGGTTAACTTCCAGTGATGATTATTTTCTTATATGCAATGAAATGTTATGTGAAATTTTTTCTATAGTACTGGACAGGATAAAACTTTACTCATGCCAAGTATTTCTTTATTTGAAACAAAGATATATTCTGCACAATGTTTTGAAAAGTGCAAATTTAACAAAGACTAATAGGGGAAAATCAATGGTGGTATTACACCTAATATGGGAAGCTGTACATGCACTTTTGACCTTGTGAGTACTCTCATGTGTTAAAATTTCTTGCTATTTAAGTGAAATATTACAAATAATGAAATATTCTGAGTGGATTGAGTCTCCAAAACACATTTTATAAGAAAATTTCCTTGAAATAGGACTTTACCATGAATATTAGTTGACAGAACAAGCCATACTTAGAGTTTGGGTGAGCTTTTTCTCCTTATTTATTATATTCTGCTATACTAGAAATTTTTTCCTAGGAAATACTTAAATAAATATATAGTTTTAAGTAAATGAAATTATTTTTAAAGCAGTAACAACAAATTATTCACCAAAAGAGAAGCTTTTTATGTCCCTCTCTGGGACGCGGCGTAAATTTAAGTTTTACGTAAGGACTTATTGAAACCTCCTTGGAGACAGCAAACTTTTATACGGATAGTTCATTCAGCTTGAATACTTCAATTAATCATTTATTATAACATTTCTATCATAAATGAGTGAAAGTTACCCCAGAATTTTTATTTATTGGCCTAAAAAGTAGAAATTTTGAGGAAATGAGAGGTATAAATGGACCAAAAGAGACCTTATAAGGAAGACAAAGAGGTCCATTAGTACTATTTATCATCCTAAAGTCATCTTTTGTATCATATTCAACTGTTTGTAGGCAGATGAGATAAATATTTGATCGTTTATTGGTCCACACTATATTCTATCATGATGCGGCTGGGTTTGGATTTTTAGAAGAAATTTTGCTCGAATCGCTGTAGATGTTGTCTAACATTATACTAGATTTTTCTCAAATTATTGAACTGATTATGACAAAACTTGACAGGAATGCTTGAAATAATCCGTATTACAAAGGAAAAAAGTCACATTCAGTTTATTTAACAAAAACGTCTTCTTTAGGTGTAATACCACCAAATCATAGTACGTCACATCCGGTTGCATACGAAAATAGGTCTAAAAAAATATTCCCTTGAATTTGACAGTTGTAGGTAATTGATCCTACATTTCATTGCAGTAAAACATTTCTGGGTCATAAACATATATCTTGGGTATTTCAAAGCACCATTATTTTTTTTATTTGGGGTTTCTATAAAATATTTTGGAAACTTGAGGTTACATGGTTACTAAAGCTTGTACACAGGTTAAAAAAGGGGGAAAATTTGATTGGTTAACTTCCAGTGATGATTACTTTCTTATATGCAATGAAATGTTATGTGAAATTTTTTCTATAGTACTGGACAGGATAAAACTTTACTCATGCCAAGTATTTCTTTATTTGAAACAAAGATATATTCTGCACAATGTTTTGAAAAGTGCAAATTTAACAAAGACTAATAGGGGGAAATCAATGGTGGTATTACACCTAATATGGGAAGCTGTACATGCACTTTTGACCTTGTGAGTACTCTCATGTGTTAAAATTTCTTGCTATTTAAGTGAAATATTACAAATAATGAAATATTCTGAGTGGATTGAGTCTCCAAAACACATATTATAAGAAAATTTCCTTGAAATAGGACTTTACCATGAATATTAGTTGACAGAACAAGCCATACTTAGAGTTTGGGTGAGCTTTTTCTCCTTATTTATTATATTCTGCTATACTAGAAATTTTTTCCTAGGAAATACTTAAATAAATATATAGTTTTAAGTAAATGAAATTATTTTTAAAGCAGTAACAACAAATTATTCACCAAAAGAGAAGCTTTTTATGTCCCTCTCTGGGACGCGGCGTAAATTTAAGTTTTACGTAAGGACTTATTGAAACCTCCTTGGAGACAGCAAACTTTTATACGGATAGTTCATTCAGCTTGAATACTTCAATTAATCATTTATTATAACATTTCTATCATAAATGAGTGAAAGTTACCCCAGAATTTTTATTTATTGGCCTAAAAAGTAGAAATTTTGAGGAAATGAGAGGTATAAATGGACCAAAAGAGACCTTATAAGGAAGACAAAGAGGTCCATTAGTACTATTTTTAGTATCCTAAAGTCATCTTTTGTATCATATTCAACTGTTTGTAGGCAGATGAGATAAATATTTGATCATTTATTGGTCCACACTATATTCTATCATGATGCGGCTGGGTTTGGATTTTTAGAAGAAATTTTGCTCGAATCGCTGTAGATGTTGTCTAACATTATACTAGATTTTTCTCAAATTATTGAACTGATTATGACAAAACTTGACAGGAATGCTTGAAATAATCCGTATTACAAAGGAAAAAAGTCACATTCAGTTTATTTAACAAAAACGTCTTCTTTAGGTGTAATACCACCAAATCATAGTACGTCACATCCGGTTGCATACGAAAATAGGTCTAAAAAAATATTCCCTTGAATTTGAAAGTTGTAGGTAATTGATCCTACATTTCATTGCAGTAAAACATTTCTGGGTCATAAACATATATCTTGGGTATTTCAAAGCACCATTATTTTTTTATTTGGGGTTTCTATAAAATATTTTGGAAACTTGAGGTTACATGGTTACTAAAGCTTGTACACAGGTTAAAAAAGGGGGAAAATTTGATTGGTTAACTTCCAGTGATGATTATTTTCTTATATGCAATGAAATGTTATGTTAAATTTTTTCTATAGTACTGGACAGGATAAAACTTTACTCATGCCAAGTATTTCTTTATTTGAAACAAAGATATATTCTGCACAATGTTTTGAAAAGTGCAAATTTAACAAAGACTAATAGGGGAAAATCAATGGTGGTATTACACCTAATATGGGAAGCTGTACATGCACTTTTGACCTTGTGAGTACTCTCATGTGTTAAAATTTCTTGCTATTTAAGTGAAATATTACAAATAATGAAATATTCTGAGTGGATTGAGTCTCCAAAACACATTTTATAAGAAAATTTCCTTGAAATAGGACTTTACCATGAATATTAGTTGACAGAACAAGCCATACTTAGAGTTTGGGTGAGCTTTTTCTCCTTATTTATTATATTCTGCTATACTAGAAATTTTTTCCTAGGAAATACTTAAATAAATATATAGTTTTAAGTAAATGAAATTATTTTTAAAGCAGTAACAACAAATTATTCACCAAAAGAGAAGCTTTTTATGTCCCTCTCTGGGACGCGGCGTAAATTTAAGTTTTACGTAAGGACTTATTGAAACCTCCTTGGAGACAGCAAACTTTTATACGGATAGTTCATTCAGCTTGAATACTTCAATTAATCATTTATTATAACATTTCTATCATAAATGAGTGAAAGTTACCCCAGAATTTTTATTTATTGGCCTAAAAAGTAGAAATTTTGAGGAAATGAGAGGTATAAATGGACCAAAAGAGACCTTATAAGGAAGACAAAGAGGTCCATTAGTACTATTTATCATCCTAAAGTCATCTTTTGTATCATATTCAACTGTTTGTAGGCAGATGAGATAAATATTTGATCATTTATTGGTCCACACTATATTCTATCATGATGCGGCTGGGTTTGGATTTTTAGAAGAAATTTTGCTCGAATCGCTGTAGATGTTGTCTAACATTATACTAGATTTTTCTCAAATTATTGAACTGATTATGACAAAACTTGACAGGAATGCTTGAAATAATCCGTATTACAAAGGAAAAAAGTCACATTCAGTTTGTTTAACAAAAAAGTCTTCTTTATGGGAAGCTGTACATGCACTTTTGACCTTGTGAGTACTCTCATGTGTTAAAATTTCTTGCTATTTAAGTGAAATATTACAAATAATGAAATATTCTGAGTGGATTGAGTCTCCAAAACACATTTTATAAGAAAATTTCCTTGAAATAGGACTTTACCATGAATATTAGTTGACAGAACAAGCCATACTTAGAGTTTGGGTGAGCTTTTTCTCCTTATTTATTATATTCTGCTATACTAGAAATTTTTTCCTAGGAAATACTTAAATAAATATATAGTTTTAAGTAAATGAAATTATTTTTAAAGCAGTAACAACAAATTATTCACCAAAAGAGAAGCTTTTTATGTCCCTCTCTGGGAGCGTAAATTTAAGTTTTACGTAAGGACTTATTGAAACCTCCTTGGAGACAGCAAACTTTTATACGGATAGTTCATTCAGCTTGAATACTTCAATTAATCATTTATTATAACATTTCTATCATAAATGAGTGAAAGTTACCCCAGAATTTTTATTTATTGGCCTAAAAAGTAGAAATTTTGAGGAAATGAGAGGTATAAATGGACCAAAAGAGACCTTATAAGGAAGACAAAGAGGTCCATTAGTACTATTTATCATCCTAAAGTCATCTTTTGTATCATATTCAACTGTTTGTAGGCAGATGAGATAAATATTTGATCATTTATTGGTCCACACTATATTCTATCATGATGCGGCTGGGTTTGGATTTTTAGAAGAAATTTTGCTCGAATCGCTGTAGATGTTGTCTAACATTATACTAGATTTTTCTCAAATTATTGAACTGATTATGACAAAACTTGACAGGAATGCTTGAAATAATCCGTATTACAAAGGAAAAAAGTCACATTCAGTTTATTTAACAAAAACGTCTTCTTTAGGTGTAATACCACCAAATCATAGTACGTCACATCCGGTTGCATACGAAAATAGGTCTAAAAAAATATTCCCTTGAATTTGACAGTTGTAGGTAATTGATCCTACATTTCATTGCAGTAAAACATTTCTGGGTCATAAACATATATCTTGGGTATTTCAAAGCACCATTATTTTTTTTATTTGGGGTTTCTATAAAATATTTTGGAAACTTGAGGTTACATGGTTACTAAAGCTTGTACACAGGTTAAAAAAGGGGGAAAATTTGATTGGTTAACTTCCAGTGATGATTATTTTCTTATAT